GATGAAATAAATTAAAATTTGATTGATTCATATAAGTATATAGGTAAATGTAGATAGATGCATATGTGGTGTAGGTGTGCAGGACTGCCGGAATTTATTTAAATTAGCAGACTGATCTGGATTTATCTGTGAATATCACATAATACATGTTGACTCTATCAAAAGAGAGTTATAATTCAAAAGACTTATTCCTGATCAACATCTAGATTATTGTTTATCTTCTGTCTATCATTTTCATTTAATGATAACATATCCCGTGGAGTCCTAGAAAAAATAAATCTGAAGAGCTGCTGATGAGTGTCGTACGTAGATAGAGAGTCGTCATAGTCATACCCATTAATGATTGTTTTGATTTTTCTATTCTTTTAGCTTGATCTAAATTGATACCAAAAGTGACATTGATCTTACATCATCACGTGCATTTTCATTCATGTTCATCAGATTCATTTCTTTCTTCGTTTCGTCAGAGTGTGTTAGCAGTTGTGCGCGTGTGTACACTTCTGTTAATGAGAAAGATTGACAAAATCTGTCTGAAAGAAAGCAGAAATTACATTAACTACGCTATTAACTATATTTAACGGGACCCCATTTTCGGTACTTTTCAAGAACGGTTCACCAGAAAATTTTGAAACGTTCAGGTCTGATAGATCTCGATGAGTAGAGTAAAAGTTGTTATAGATTCAAAATATCCAAATGTTTCCCTGGAGGAGATATTGGGATTGCAAGGGCAAAAACGATCCCTGTTATCGCCCCGCTTTCTCGGCCACAGTACGTCCTACAGAGCTGAAATTTTTTTTGACAGATAATAGAGACACTTTTAGGTACCTACTTTTTTTGGTTTCTTTCTAACTCGTTCTCTTCATATAAAAAACCCAAAGTATTAAGAGCACCTTGAAAAACGCATGTTTTTTAATAGAGCTTTTTTCGTAAGGTCTGCAAAATCTCAACAGCACACGAATTTTTAAAACAAAAAAAAACTAGGCATCCTAAAGTGTCTCTAGTATCTGTGGAAAAAATTTCAGCCTGATTGGATGTACTATGCCCGAGAAACGGGAGTGATTCTGAAGATTTTTGCTGAAAGACCTAATTTCTAGATGACCACGAAAGAAAAAAGAAATATGTTATACTACTACGCAAGGGCACTTGAAAGCATATGTGGAGCAGAAAAATCAAAAAATGGAAAATTTTGGAATTTTGCGTATGAAAAGGCGGGGGTTGCGGGTGTGTGAATGTAGGTTCGATTGTTATGTATTAGATGTAGCAGCCACACCCAAACCCACACACACCCTATACTATTATCATTACGATTACGTTATAAATGGAGTAAGATTAATGGAACTTACGAGAGACCTAGGAGTGTAACTATGAATAGAGACGACAGGACACAAGGTTCTCTTGCTTCTAAAACGTTTACGTTTTTCAATAGCAAAATAGAAGAGAAGTACTTTCTCGGGATGTGAAGCTACTGAATCCATATGAGGAGAAACGTTCTCTCTCTTCCTACTTTCTAGATCTTAGGAGAATAGGTTTATTTATTTGGAAGATCTGATTATGTATTTAAATAGAGTCACGTCAAGTGATAAAAAAGGCCTTTATTGTAAGACCTTTGCTATTAGATAGAGCTTATCGAGACTAGACAAAGTATATAATGGACCATTTTCATGGCAATTTCTTCTCGAAGTATGTCTAATTTCATTAAACTTTGATCGATATCAAAATGAGTCATCAAAACTCGAATTTGAATTTGAAATTTAGCCCACTTAAGTTTTGATATTGCTAAAGCCGGCCGAGAGTCTAAGTTAAAATAAATATTTTAGCCTCGATATATAAGTGTCTTTTCAAATCATATGTGTTTTAGTTAGAACTCGGAAATACTATCTTTTCTCGAATGTTATAGATCGAGGCTCAAGCATACATTTTGACAAAGACTCTGCGGATTGTAGCAACATTCACAACCTAGTCAGGAAAATTGCGTATTTTAATTCCGAAATTCAAGTTTTTGTGATACATTTTGGTATCGATTAAAATTTAAAGAAATTATATGCATCTTGAGAAGAAAGTTCCTAGAATATGATTCACTTTAGACTTTGTTTAATCTCGATAAATTTTATCTGATAGCAAAAGTCTCACACTAAAAGCGTTTTATTATTTGGAATGGTTTCCTACTGATGTTATCGATTAAAATCAGAAGTTTTCAAACAATTTTAATTTTGATTTTGTTGCAGAATAATCGGATCGATAATTTTGATTATGCCCATAGGATTTTGAAACTTCAATCATTGGGTGTGGGGGTGGGGGTGGATCATCTTTTCTTTCATGCACCGACCCAGACCCACACATACACCCTCGTTGTAAGAAAGAAGAAGCGACGTTATTTTTTCATTCCATATTGATGTGCATACAGTGAGTATACGTAATTTTTATTTTATCTTTCTCTCTCAATAAAAAAAGTACTTTATCATAGTCGAAATATAAATGAAAGTAATTCGATCGCAAATAAAAATTATTTTTTTCGTGCGTTAACGAAAAAAAAAGACAACTAGTCCTTCTTGAATGAATCATGATTATATGTAAAATTAGATTGACTCTAATGTCGTTGCCGTCGTTCTTTTTTTCTTTTTTTTTTAGTATTCTCTTCAAGAAAAATAAATGATATTTGGAAAGAAAAAACGATAAACTTGAAAACACGCAAGTATTGATTGCTTATCCATTTAAAAGTGAAATTCGTAATCGTAATCAATTAATTTATTTACCAGAATTAGTTCAAAATGAACAAAGTCTTCGTGTTGCTATTCGTCAACATCGTCCTCATGTTATTATTGTTGGAAGTAATTCTGTTGGAAGTGAAACACTTGAACTATGGCGTTCAATTATGAGTTATGATATTCAATTAACATTAATTCGAAGAGGTTCAGCACTTTCTCGTATTCATGTTGATCGTGCTCGACAACTAAATATAAATGTATTAAATACATTAAGTGTAAATTCTCGATTTGTTGCTGAATATATAATCGAACATCTTCATTTGCCAAATGATGGAACATGTTCAACCATTGGAATTATTGGATCAGGTGCTATTGGAAAGCGAATTGCTTATCGTTTATATAGAGCTAAACATAAAGTTATTGTTTATAGTCCATCATTAACAAATCCTGATCAAACTATTCAGTCAAAAATTCGAAAACATAAAGGTAATGATTTTCCTGATATCAATATTGCTATGACACCTGAACAAGCTGTTATCAATGCTACACATGTTATACTTGCTATTGATGCTGATAGAGTTACAAATATTGAAGAACAATTATCTAAAGAATTTTTTCAAATCATACCAAATGGAGCAAGACTTGTATCTGTTACTGCATTTTGTGTATTTGCTCCAGGAGCTCTTGATAGGCTTATTGAACGTGTTCGACAAGGACAAATTAGTGCTCGTTTAGATTCACATGCATTTGATTTAAGTACAATTAAAGATCTTCCAACACAATTAGAGGCTGTATCAGCTGCTCTGACTGTACCTGGATGTGGTGAAGCTATGGATCAAGCTGCTCTTGTTGTTCTTGCCAATATTGTACTTGAACAATCATTTAAATCATCATTACCATTTTTAATTGATTCATCTAGAAAAAATGAAGAAATTACTATCATCGGAGCAGGTATTGTGGGTTTAGTAACTGCTTTCTTTCTTAGTGACAGCGGTTATAGAGTCACTATTATTGATGAACATAACTATCCTAATCCAAAAGATGAATCTAATCAAAATGAAATATCTTGTCGTGGTACAACACTTGATGGATGTGATGCGCGACATGCATCTATAACAGAAACAATGCCACAAGCAGTATTTTATAGAATTGATAGTTTAAGAAAATATCCATTAGATCATGGAGGATGGAAAATAATACCTGATCAATATAATAATCAAGAACGATTATGGATTGATAGATTTAGTGAACTTGCTGGTTATCCAGAATTAGTTGTGAATTTATTTCATAAATTTGTATCAAATATAAATAGACGTGGAATTGCATTATGGGAAAAAATATTTGAAATCTATCCAAAATTAGTTGAAGATACAATTAAAAATCATCGAACTTTTCGTGTATGTTCATCATTAACTTCATTAAATGTTGTTTCAACATTTCAAAAAAAATATCATAAAAATGAAGATAATCTTCAAATGTTATCACATTCACAAATTCTTGAAAAAATACCTGGTCTTGTACTTCAAGATGGTGATGCTGGTGGAATTGAAGTACCTGGTTTTACTATTAGTCATTTAAAACTTTGTCAAAATATGATTGACTTTTTAGAAAATAATCCAAATGTTAAATTTAAATGGTCAACTAAAGTTTGTTCAATGGATGATATATCTTCTTCTAAAATAATTTTAGCTTCAAGTCTTAATAATTTGAATTCTTCATTGTTAGATAATGTATTATTAGCTGTTCAAGGTGTTTTCGGATGTTGGACAAAGCTTTCGAATATTCATTCAATAAAAAATGGATTTAAAATAACCGAAAAAGAACCAATCGGTGTTATAAATGTGACACCAAGCTATGATGAACAACATTTATATGTAACAGGTGCATATGCTTTTTGTGGCCATCGTGGAATTGTTCAATCAACTTATCTTACCCAATTAATTGATTTATTTTATTCAACGATACGATGTTATTTACCTGATGAAATCGAGGCAAGTGAACCAGAAATTCTTCTACCAAGATTTTGTATTCGTCCAATGACTCCAGATGGAATGCCAATCATTGCTCAATTGACTGCTGAGAATAAAAAGCAACATATTTATTTTGTTGGTGGAACAAATGCTGGAGGATTTGTTCAATCTCCAGTTTTAGCAACAATTCTTTTGGATTTAATTCAAGATTCAATAAGTAATACAAATCTTTGTCATGTTTATAGATCTTTACGTCTTGATAGGAATACATTATTATTTAATTAAAATTTATTCAATGGATTTTATTAAATTGAAACCAAACTTTGTTTTCATGTATTATTGTACAGTAAATCAAATGGAAATATTTTATTTTCATTTTTAAATAAAGATATTTATTACTCTCAAATCGATTAATTGTGAATTATTATTTTGTTTTCTTGATAAATGAATGTCGTGTATTTTTTTATAATAAAGAGTCTATCGATAAAAATCTGTAACCAGAGTAGGTGTGCGAGTACGAATTGCGTTAAAGAGAAAATGCACACCTGCAGCCCTATGATCTGAATATGACCTTATGACAATTCTGACTTCATGACATATTATCTAAATCAAACCCGAGGGTGTGGATGTGAATCTTCTCTTCAAAAGAACCCACACCCACATCCTATTCGCAGTCAATCGTAACCATTCGCTGCCACTCGGAGCCATTCGAATGAATCCGAATGAGCTTTCTTCCTCTTGGTAGGATTTCTTGAGGTTTGGAAGGTTTTTGACCTATAGCGTTTCTTTTATCCTATATATGAATCATGGGAAAAAGATAAATTCATAGCCTATACTGTTCTCTACCTAATGAGAGGAGCCGGACCCCAAACGTTCAAACTATTCATGAGAAAATGTTAAAATACTGAGCACACCAGTTTTTAGCGACTTTTTCGAGTCAAAACAGACCCTATAACCCTTTTCAGCCGGTTCCTAGTGGCCAGGTAGCAAAAAATTTTTTCCTACATGTTTTTTGTTGGTCTACCATGGAGATAGCAAAAAAGTAACTCTGTATCTATAGGCATGGTGTTGCCATTTGGCAACATCTGGCCGATAGAAGTCAAAACTTTGAAAAAAAATTTTTCGTTTTCGGTGTTTGTCTTGCTGCTGTTACTGGGTTATTTTCAATTCAGAATAGTTGTAAAGGTATCCGACCGCATTTTACTAAACATGATACTGGGGATGGAGTGTGGGTGCAGTCGTTGGTATACTTATACTCATATCCTATCCGCAATATGCAAATATTTTTGATTTTTACAAACCAATCTCAATCCATTACTGAAGATATAGATTAACCCTAGGACTACCAGCCTCTTTTAAAATATATGGGCGATTCAATGCAAATTATATAACAAAGGAAATTTTAATCTACAAGTCGCAAGTAAATGAAGAATCATTAGATAAACTGGTATAAACTGAAACAGTAAAGTGATATATGAAATCGAATAAAAAAAAAATTTTCTTTTTCATAATTTTACAGGTTGTCAATATGAGATCTTGACTTCGTTACTCATAAAATATAAAATAAGATAGAAAGGCAAGTCATACCTATTGGTCTACAATGATATATATCATCTACAACGATGATTAGATAGCTCTAAACCTCCCAAACAAGGTCTCTAAGTGAACTAGAAATATATGTCCACTTGGAGTAGTGAGTCATTGGATTATATACTGCAAGTTTTACTTTCTCTCCTTTCTTGTTATAATTTTGTTGTATACTGAAGACATGGTCTTCTATCAGAAACTTGTAATTTTATAGACAATAAATGTATTTCTTTTTAAATTCAAATTTTTAAGTTGGACTCAAAAATGACCCCAACTGGTAGTACTAGGGATAATACAGATCACTATACTATACTTGATGGAATCATTAGTGGCGCGTAGCTAGAAAAGACTTTCGATGGAAAGTTAATAAATACTTTATACTTTCTCGCTTTCTATGAAGAAAGTCAGATTTTTCCAAAAGCATTGTTTTCTATATTATTAATTTTTTTATACCACTTTATATTATGATTCATGAACACCTTTTTGTTATATTGCCATCAGTATGTAGAAAGTACACTCTGAAAAACGAAGGAAGAGATATTCTTTCTCCAATGGATATACGTACCATCATGAAATAAACGGTAGAGTATGCTAATTTGATTTTTGAAAGTGAATACAAATTTTTGAAATTTTGTCCCTTTACAGTCGGATGTTGCCATATGGCAACATGACCATTTTGTATTATCTAGGCACACCGAATAATCCATCTTAGTGTGGCATTATATAATAGGCTGACCATAGAAAAATTAAGCACTAGGGTGTGGGTGTGGGTGTGACGAAAATATACACCTATACCCACCCACACACCCACACCCCACCCACCCACAACCACACCCACACCCCAAAAATGAAAATGAAGAAAACATGCATTGTCAGAAAATAAAGGGAGATGATCGAAATAAATTATTTTATTTTGAAAAATAAATAATTTCTTTTTCTTTATTTTTTTAATGATAAGATTTGATTTATCATCATTTCCTAATAATAAATGTTGATTGTCACATTTATTCAATGTAAAATCAAGTTTAATATCATATACTTTAATAGGATTTTTCATACAAGATAATTTGTATTCATTTTGTTAAAAATTATTATCATTTGTGATAGAAATTCAAACATATTACATTGAAATTAGAATTATCGAAGAAAAGAATTTTTGATTTCGCATTCTTTTTTTCTATCTTCAAATCTGTACTATATAAGTGCTAAAATAGATCGACAGTGAACGCCCTCTTTTCTATTACAGAGGCAAAGTATATAATTTTTATGCAATGGCAAAAAAGTGTATGTACGTGCACGTGAGTGTAGATTATCTCAACCTACGCTAGATGATCTAGTTGAATGAGCTTTTTGCGACGTTATTTAAACTCAATCAATTGGAACTTGATCACGATGGATTACTAAGAAAAAAAGAAAAGAACTTTTTTTTTTCTTATTCATTTTTTTTTTCAGATAAACATAATGTAAAAGAACAAGAACATGTACAATGGATACAAAATTTTCTAATCTAGTAGCAACTGATCCTAATTTAGGTCTTATTGTAACTCATCGTATCCCTCTTTCGTCATTCACATTCGAAAATATTATTAATACATCTCATGAAGAATTTATTCTTGATCTTAGTCAACAACCAACAACAGAAACAATAAATAAAGATCAATCAATTTATATAGTTAATAATAGAGGAAAACAATTCAACATGTACTTATACAGATTCAATTGATGATGATTTATTAAGTTTAAATATTAATACTATTACTACTACTAATAATAAATTAAATATTGAACATTTATTAACTGATCAATTAAAAAATCATTCAATACAAGATGATTCATTGTCAGATAGTTCAAATAGAAATCAATCAAAACTTGACTTTTATTCTTCAATAAAAAAAACCCTAAGTAAAAAACATTTTTGTTGTTTTTTTGAAATATTTATTTTATTTCTATCTATTAAAAAAATCTGTAGTTCATCATCTAGTCAAACAATTATCATACATATGAACTTGAACGTTGTTTAAATTCATCTCGATTAAATTCATTAAATTTTCTTTGGTCAAAATATTTATCAAGTATTGATAAACAATCTTTTGATCATTATTTAGTATCGATTGAATCTGATTTTGATATTGATATGAAACGTGAATATTGTTATGATATACAACGTGATTTATATTGGTTAACACAAATACAATTAATATCACATAGTTTACTTCTTTTACATTATGTTCGTTTACCTGATGATGATACATCAAATGATTTTTGGGCTTATATTTATGAACAACGTTGTCATTCAATTGGATGATGTAAAGAAAATAGTAAATTAATGTCATCATCATTAATTGTTACTAAACGAGTTATTCAACAAACAACATTAAATAATAATCATACAACATCAAATGGAAATGATAAACAATCAAATGTATCTAAAGGAGATACACCTAATATTAATCAAACATCATTTGATTATTTATTTAATAAAGTAAACATTTTTACGTTTTCTTAATTAAGATTTTTCTAATGAGAAAATCTTTACAGAACCTCTTAATAGTTTATTTAATTATTTCGCGGCGAAATGAATATTCCTTTTTCATAATTCATGAAAGGTTTCATTTCTTTATTTGTGGCAACTGTAATACTTCAAAACAGTTTTTATCAGTGTCCTCTTATGAATATGCACTATGAATAGTTCTTTATCAGTGGTAAAAAAATCAGACCCTTTAGCCAAAATATGGACGAAATATTTAATTTTTTCTGCGTTAGAGGAACTTGATAACCAATCTATAGTGAAACCCACCGGTGAGTCTCATCGCCTCGAATGGGTTAAACAGTTAAACTAAGTAAATATTGTACATTACGAGCACTTCATTTGATTTTTTTATTATTATATATAGGTATATACTGCAGACAATCAAATGAATATTTGTGTCTATAAGTATTAGAATAAAAATAATTTAGTTCATGATTATATTTAAGCTATTGTTCATTTCAAAAAATAAAAGGCGAATCAGTAGTTTTTAAATAACATTTGATACAATCGCTGTAGAGAGTTGCATTTTTCACCGTAGAAAAGAGGAGATGAAGCCCCACCGAATAGTGTATTATAGGTTTATCTAAAACTATGAAAAACGCATTTCTACAGGTATTGGTAATAAAATCAGCTCTATAACTATTGAACGGATAAGCGTAAAAGACTGGATCTTGTGTAGTTTTAAAGATCTTTATTTAGCAGTTCGAATACGTACCTGATTAGTTACCTTACAGAGTATCTTAGTTTTCAAAAACGTCGATTTAAGTGCTTGATAAAACTAGATCAAATTGCTCCGTAATATACATTTCGATGCATCTCCATCTCCTCTTTTCAATGGTGAAAATCGCAGCTCTCTACAGTGATCCTATCAAAAATTATTCAAAAAATATCCGCCGGTCTTTTATTTTGAAATAGATAGTACCTATTATTTTTAAAACGAATATTGTAAGTCGAGTTCGGCAAAATGACACTAAATAAAGATGTTATAAAAATTAAATTGATACAATCAGAGATATAATGACTCACGATCAAGTGTTCAAATTTTCCTATAGAGACTATTCCATTGCATAAACAACAGTGCACGGAATTATGATTAAATAACTTTATTTAAAATCATTAATTTGTATGCGGCATAGAACATGTTTTTGCTTTTGAAATAACTACAGCATTTGACGGTAGTTCACTTTTCACAAACGCGATAAGCTTCATCGATTTTGTCTTCTAAAAACTTTATACTCTTTCGCAAAAAATATTAAATCTTCCGAACTTGATTTACAATTTTTGTTTTGTAATCATAGATAACTCATATTTAATATTTGAATGCTTACAAAAACTAAAAAAAAAAGGGGTTCTACAAATTAGTTAAATTTTGATAAAATAGAAGTTTCATAGTCAACCAGTATTTTATCCAAGTAGTCAAGTATTTGGTTCTTTCAAAGTTGATAATTATATGTTTATGTTTACAAAAACTAGATATTCGTCTATCGGAAGTAAAAAATTTGAATAAAACACTATGACTAATCATCTAGTATATTTGTTTAAAATTAAAGATTTTGTTTCATTGAGATGATGAAAAGAAAAATCATATTTTTAACATTTTAGAAAATCGATTCAAATGCTTGTGAACAATTAAGAAAAAGATATGTTACTTGAATTAAAAAATGCAAATCGTCCATGGATTGTATGATTTGTTCGAATAATAAATAATCGTGGTGAACGATTACATCTTCGATATATAACGAATGTGAATGATGATGATTCTAGTTTATCTTTACATTATATCTTGATCGTCGTGTTCATTTTATTGATTGAACAAAAAAAAAAAAAAATTCTTCTATGTATTTTTATAATATTTCAACATGTTTAACATTAGTGTAATCGATAAAGAAAAATATAATTGATATATGTTTAAATAAATCAAAAGAATAATTTCTTCCATCAAATTTATTTAAAGAACAAGAAGAAATAGTTAAACATCGTTTTATTGAAGGAATGAGATTAGAAGTATTTGAAACAACTAAACAAAATATTTATATTAGTAGAATAGGTCATATTTATAATGATTATTATTTTGATGTTATTATTGATCATGATAATGAATTATCATTTATAGCATATTCAACACATCCACATATATTATCAGCACATTGGGCTGCTGAACATAAACTTGCATTAATGTATGGTAAAGATATTCGATGATCTAAGGATTATTGGAATTTATATATTGAAAAAATGGTATTAATAATATAGCACCTGAAAGATATTTTAATTTATTAACATTAAATGCTGTTGGAAATAATCATGTTGAAACAGGAATGAAAATGAAAATGGTTTATATATTAAATAATAATGATTATGGTTTTTCTGTAACACTTATTCATATTATAGATCATCTTATGTAGTTAAGAGTTGATGATACTAGTTTATCTAATGATGAAAAATTATTTTATCATGTTTTACCAATTAATTCATTAGATATATTTCCTGTTGAATGGGCAAAATTTAATGGATTTGATTTAATAATACCTATGCAATATGAAAACATATGAACAAAATCGATATGAGTAAGATTTTTGTTTTTTGATAATCATATTACATGTTAAGTACCAAAACAATCTAATTACGAAGAAAATATCCGAGCTGTTATTCACTATTTGTATTTATATTAAGTTTACAAGAAGAAATAAAATAATGTTAAAAGGATTCGTGCCCATAGACCTCTAGATGCGAGTTTTGACTATTTTACTTAACCTTCGATGCAACTATAGGTATTTACTAAAAAAAAACAAATAATGAAATTTTGTGTATAGATAAATCAAATGACTCTGGAAATAGCCGCAGAATTTAGATGACGAAACAGTATTTCTCTGCCAAGATATTCAATGTCTAAAAAATAGTATATCGTCACGATAATTGACTTTGTTTGAAAATTTGATATGTCGACAAAAGAATATCATTTTCGATTACTTTTTTAACCATATTATTATAATCATCTGATTTCAATGTGAATAATATTGAAAGTCGAAATTTTACTATTTCTTTGTTTTGTTCAATACCTAAAACTTGACTGAAAATTCAGTAAAGTATTCATAATTCGATTGCAGAGATCCATGAATAAAATCCATTTTCAGGATTTTTCTAAGCCTTTTTGTGAACTTAATATGAGCTGTTCCAGATAATATCTGTTTACAAAGTTTTCTCGTCAGAGATGAATAATTTGAATTTTGAATTCATACAGTTTCATTAAGTCTCATTGAATAAATGAACTTGCAAGTAAAGAAAGATTCAATTTTTTGATAATTACATTTAAAACTAATTTGCTTATCTATAGAGTTATATGATACATAAATATTCAATGATAAAATCTATGTTTCGAAGATTGAGAAAGAAGTTTTTCAGCTAAAATTTCTAAAAACTAAGCATAGTAAGGGTGTGGGTGTGTGGATGTGGGTGGAGTGTGGGTGTGGGTGTGG